CCAGACCGCAATGCGCCGCGACTTGGAACTCGTGACTTTCATTCTTTTCTTTTCTTTACCGGTCCCCCGCCCGGCGACCACCGGAAGTCGCAGCGCGTATACGGCCGCCCAAAAAAAAAAAAACAGGCTGAGGTACTGGTGGTTTAATGAGAGACCCGTCCGACCTTCCAGACTCATTCCCATCCCACCCCATGGTCCTGGTGGAGGTTATAGTGTGACACCACGGCTATTGGGTGACAGTGCAATTCCACACAGCAAGTCCTGGTGCCCCCGGGGAGGACTGGTAAATCTCTTCATAAGCAACGGCTGCATTCAGAGGGAGGCAGGAGGTCCGGAAGACAAGGACAGTCGGACGCCATGCAGCAGGGCGAAGAGACCCCTTTTCCTCCCAAAACTCCTTCATACTGGCAGTCTGGCAAATGTTTTGGATGCATAGACCATCTCTGCTGGTATCCTCTCAAGTACTTCTTAAACCACCAGTACCTGGCCCAGCTATCGGCCGCGGCGCTTCACGTATACGCGCCGCGCCATTTGGGCTTTGGCCTGCCAGACCGCATTGACTGGAGGCCGCAGGCAAAACGGAAAAGAAAATTGCGACGGCGGTTCGGCAGGACTCGGCGCGCAGCGTGCTGGGAGGCTCAGATTCAATAGCTGAGCGAGGTACTGGTGGTTTAAAGGACGCTGAGCCTGATTCTCAGCAAGGTTGTGAACGCTGGACCCGGTTTCCAGCAGGTGCTGCTCCCCACCAATAGACGGAGCCTCCCAGAGAGTGCTAGGGGTGTCTGCTCTTATCAGCACCCCTAGCAACCTTCTCGGGCTGTTTGACCGAAAAAAAAAAGAAAAAAAAAAGAGGTAGCTATGCTTGCAGGGTTCCCCTATATAGCCTCAGGGCACCTTCGATGGGCCAGTCACTCTGCCCCTCCGGTCCCCTCCCCCTATGAACATCAGCAGTCTCTGCTGAATGCCACTAGGGGGAACCAACGACATATCTCTAGGTGGTGGGCGCCAAGCTTGCCCAGGAAGGTACATGCAAGCAATGGGGATCGAACCCAGCACCTCCTGAATGCCACTTGCGTGCCTTACCAACTGAGCTAGGTAGGCCTCTGGGTCCGCTCTGGATTCGAACTTGAGTCTTTATTTGAACAGAGTCTTTGCCAGGCGTGACACGCGCACAGCGGAGCCGGTTAGAGTGCTGGGGTTAGGTCCCACTTACACGAATTAAGCGATATTGACCGTAGATGGCAAAGATCGACGGCCGCAATCTCTTAATCAGTGCAAGTGGGACCTTGCCCCTGGTCTATGACGGCAGAAATGAAGGGTTCAATTCCTGGAACAAATGCACACGGTGTCGGTGGAAGTTTTAGTTTTGGATGTTTCTAGCGACCACAGGTTGCTAGTCGCTACCAGGGATTCAGCTCCTCCCGCACGCTGGTAGCCCAGCTTAGCAGGGAGGGCAAGGGCCTCTCAGGTTGAGGCTGAACCTGGAGGGTGCTGGGTAGGAACGGGTAGGCCATCAATCAACCACCGCGGGTGCGGGCGCTGGCGCTGGCGCTGGGCCGCCCTCGTCCCGCGGGAAGCAAAGGAGAGGAGAGGAGAGGAGAGGGAACTGCGGTAGCGCCACGTCATCCAGTATTACGGCGCCGACACGTGGCACGTGGCTAATCTTCATCCGCTGCAGCAACGCCACGTCGCCTTATTTCTGACCTTGCTGCCATAGACTAGCAGCACGTGGTACGTGGCACGCCCCGTTCGCATTCCGTGAGCAGTGAGTGAGATCTGTGTGATTGTTTCAGTCTCGAGGCCTGTCCGTGTGCCTGCAGGGGGTGTGGGAGAGAGAGAGCGAGAGCGAGCGAGCGAGCGAGCGAGCAAGAGAGAGAGAGAGAGAGAGAGAGAGAGAGAGAGAGAGAGAGAGAGAGAGAGAGAGAGAGAGAGAGAGATGACATACATTCGCAGGCTGTGATCAGCGACCGGGATCGGTATGATTGTGTAAGTGTCGAGCCCTGTTACAAACACACACACACACACACACACACAGAAAGAGAGAGAGAGAGAGAGAGAGAGAGAGAGAGAGAGAGAGAGAGANAGAGAGAGAGAGAGAGAGAGAGAGAGAGAGAGAGAGAGAGAGAGAGAGAGAGAGAGAGAGAGAGAGAGATGGAGTGTGAGAGGATGGCGGGGCATCCGGTGCAGGAAGAGGAAGAAGAGGATGGGAAGGCGTTTCCGGCCTGGGCGCGATCTTTGGACCAGTGTTTCGGTTATTATGACGTGGACCCTAATTATGGATTGACGAAGGAGCAGGTGGAGAAGAGGAGAGAGAGGTATGGCTGGAACGAGCTGGAAAAGGAGCCAGGTACTCCCATGTGGCGGTTAGTTCTACAGCAGTTCGACGATCTGCTTGTGAAGATTCTCCTTCTCGCCGCCGTTGTCTCTTTTGCTCTTGCGTACTTGGACTCCGACGAAGCTTCCTCCCCCTCCTCCTCCTCCTCCTCCTCCTCCTCCTCAGTCGCCGGCGGCGAAGTAGGAGCTGCTGGTGGCGTCGGTGGGAGTATCACCGCTTACGTGGAACCCTTAGTCATCTTGCTTATCCTCATCATAAACGCGTTTGTGGGCGTCTGGCAAGAGAACAACGCTGAGAAGGCGCTGGAAGCCCTCAAGGAGATGCAGTCCGAGCATTCCCGCGTTTTGCGTGGCGGGAAAATGGTCGACGACCTTCCTTCCCGCGAACTTGTCCCCGGGGATATCGTTGAGCTTAGGGTTGGGGATAAGGTGCCCGCGGACGCGAGGGTGTGTGGTCTCCACACCTCCACGCTGAGATTAGAGCAGTCCGCCTTGACCGGCGAGAGCGTGGCAGTGCTGAAGTCCCATCACGCAGTCCCACATGAGGATGTGGAATTGCAGGGGAAAGAGTGCATGGTTTTCGCGGGAACGACCGTTGTGAACGGGACCTGCCACGTGCTCGTGACCGGGATCGGGATGCAGACGGAGATAGGCAAGATCCAGGCCCAGATTCAGGACGCCAATAAGGACGACGACGAGACGCCTCTCAAGAAGAAGATCAACGAGTTTGGAGAGAAGCTCACCCTCGTGATTGGCGCCGTCTGTGTCCTCGTCTGGGCAATCAATTACAAGTACTTCCTGATCATCACGGTATCAGAGGAGGGGAAGATGACGTGGACGTTCAGCCTCCAGAAGTGCACGTACTATTTTAAGATCGCCGTCGCGCTCGCCGTCGCGGCCATTCCCGAGGGATTGCCAGCTGTCATCACTACATGTCTCGCGCTGGGAACGAGGAAGATGGCGCAGAAGAACGCCATTGTCAGGAAGCTGCCGAGTGTCGAAACCCTTGGCTGTACAACCGTTATATGTTCAGACAAAACGGGTACCCTCACAACCAATCAGATGTCTGTGACCACGCTCGTGGGAGTCGGTTACAAGGTACATCTTCCCTCCATCCCTCCCTCCCTCGTGTGCCCGTTCCCATCCCGAACTCTCCCTCTTCCTCCTCCTCCTCCTCCTCTGCCGGCCTCTTGTGGGGGAGAGAGGTCTTCTCCCTCCTCCTCCTCCTCCTCCTCCTGACCTCTGCCCGTCAGGACCGAGTGACGTTATGTAATCTGAGTTTCGGGAAAAAAAAGGTTATTAAACCTTAGGCGATCCCGATACTCCGTAGATCCCGATGCGAGTATCCAGGCCGCCTTTTTTTTTGCTGTTAAAGAAAAAAAAATACCCGGATCATTAACTGCAGAGCACCGAAGAGTGTTGTCTCGAGTGTATTCAGATGAACGACGAACGGCTCGAACGCCTGACCTGCGACGAGATCTCGACAGTCCTGATGCGAGTAGACAGGCTGGGCAGTCCCGGACATGATGTTATTCATGCGTTCTTTTTGTCTCAGGATTCCTATTCTTCTTTGATCTGTAATATATATATATATAGCATTTGCGCTCTGATATTTATGTGATGATATATAGCATTCTGACTGCTATTACCTTTTTTACTGACTGCTACTCCTACTCTCTCTCTCTCTCTCTCCCGTTCGTTGCTCGTTTGCATTATCAGTCAGGCAGTAAAAAGGGTCCTCAGCCATCAGTCAGGCAGTAAAAAGGGTCCTCAGCCGGCTATCACCTTTTTACTGACTGATAATGCAAACGAGCAATGAACGAGAGAGAGAGAGAGAGAGAGAGAGAGAGAGAGAGAGAGAGAGAGAGAGAGAGAGAGAGAGAGAGAGAGAGAAAGGGGGGGGGCGGGGGGATGTCGTGCCATCTCGATAGTGCCGATGTGACAAGCATCTTTCCCGCGAACAGAAAGCACCCTCGTCATGGATAGGTTGTATTCATTGATCAGCAGGGTGCGTTGTGTTCGGGGGAAGACGGTAGATAGGCTTTGCTCCCATACGTACGTACTGATTTGTATAGTAAACGGTAGATCATCAGGGTGCGTTGTGTTCGGGGTAAGACGGTAGATTGTTGTTGCCGATATATGATCAAACGATCGGGGTGATCTGTCTGTTTTCTCTCTTTGCCTTTTCTCCACTCATTACTTCGCCTCCCCCCCCCTTTCAACACCCCCCTTCCCCCCCCTCCCCC